AAAAGGCAGCTCTAATTTTGAATGTGTAGTAAAGGTAAACAAAAAGCCCTGGGATGCAGACAGAAGAAACTCTGGGGCTCTCTGGAAGGCTCAGTATTGCCCTACACGCAGTGCCTGCGGAAGGGGTCAGTCAGGCACAGGCTGCCCTGGTGCCGGCAGTGGCAGGAGGGACACTGTGCCCGGGCCATGTCCCAGGTAGCACTGACCCTCACACACTGCTGGTTGCAGTCTCATCCTGCATCTGCACCCCTCCAGGTGTGCCCCTGAGGTGCTCTGTGCCCCTGCTCCCCCAGCCAGGGCCATGCCTGTGGCCAGACCAGGGGAGCGCTGATCTCTCGAGGCTGGAGGAGACAAGGAGCTCTGGCTCACATCTAAACCCCACCCTGAGTGACTTTGTTTGCACCTGTATGTGACTGCTGAACTTTAGACCATTTGCTTCCCCCAGTATGTGAGTTCTGCCTAGAGTGATATATTATTTATTTAACTTTATAACAAACACAACGGAAAAAAAGGAATAAATTAATAATGTATGGATTATCTTGTACATTTCAGCTCACAGCTGAGAGAGGTGGCAGAGAGCAATCCTCATTTTAAGTTTCTTAAGACAATTGCTTTTCTTTCTTCCCCCAAACCTCAAGCAGTAATAAAGGTTCTGCCATTTGTCACTGAGCATTGCACTAAGAAGCCACTGGGAATTGAAATTAATGTGTTTAAGAACTGAAAGGCAGACTGGCCACAGAGTTCTATTCATTTGAATGATAGCTTTTTGGGTAAGATGTTGTCTGCAGCTGTAATTTCAGTTTTCTTAGGTCCAAGTTACAACTGACTCTGTTTCTCACTTCCTTTAGCATTTCCAAGTTTTCTAGTACCACAGCTCACATGCCAGCCTTGCCTAGTGCTCGGCTATTAGGGGACTTTTCCTACAGGGGAGATTGTACATGCCAATTATCTGTAAAATATTAGTTTATAGGAGATGTTAACCATCTTATGCTTTAAATGGAAAAGTCTGAGATTCTGGTGAAATAAATAAGAAAAATGCATATCTTTACATATTGAAATACTATGACAGCTGAAAGTGCTTGAAACATTTGAGTGCCTTTATGGCAGTTTAACCAACTGTGTCCATAAATATTTAAAGCAGTGAATTATTTCTTGAAATTTACATTTTTATGTACCATTTTGGTGGGAGAATTATTGAACAATAAAGATGCTTTCCATAATAATTTCAGCTTTTCAAAAAGTAGCACTTGACTGCAAAAGGATTTTCTGCTGGCCACCATGTGACTCAGTGAGCTCCCAGCATAATACTGAGCTTTGGCATTTCCCACCTCCAAATTAAGGTTTTTAACAGCACAAGATAACCTAGATCCAACTTATGTTTCTGCACTTCCCAAATAAAAATAAAAAAAAAAATTAAAAAGCTGTGCAGCAGCTACTGTTACCTTTCAGCTGTGTCTTTATGTACATAGATAAATCTGACTGGTAAGAGTTCTTGTTTTCAGGATGGGATCAATAGGGATAAAGTGGCCATTTAAGTCCTGCTGTAGCCTTTATAAAGGGTTACTCTGTGTAAAATATCTTGGTTTCCTTTTCAGGTCACAATAAGATCCCCACCCCACAGGTAACTACAGGTGTGTTCTGTCTTGGGCCAGGCTGCAGGAGCCAAAAAAGTGGAGCGGGGAATGTGCTCTTATGAGACACAACCATTTGTGCCACTCAGCTTGCTCCATGGAGCTACATTTGCAGCAGGGACTAGCTGACAAGACAAAAACATCCAAGTGGCTGGCACAGTCAACAAATGGGCCAGGGATGGGCTGAGACCTGGCAGAGGAGCATTCTGCATTTCTGGAGCTGTCCTGAGCACATTGGAACTGAAGTGCTCTTTCAGTCAACCAAGAAGTAGCAGGGTGATTTTTTGATTTATTTTAATTTAGTTTGAGTATGATGCCCATTGACATTTATTAAAGAAGCTGAAGCTGTTCTAAACTTCTCACAAAAATATTTGAGTAAAAGTGAGGCAATAATTTCCTTTTTCATTTTTTCTGTATTTACAAGTGAGCTGGAAAGTAATATTACAGAAAACTACATAAAACACTGACATGTTGTTTTCTGTCTGTGTATCATTGTTACTGATAATGATCACCAAATAATAATGATTCAGGCCCTGTGACGGGCTACATGACATTATAATCTGTTTCAATCTGCCTTTCATTTTTAGGATATATTACTTTTCAGATAAACTGTGAACAGAAAATCCACAAGAAAGGATAGTGGAATGTAAATTTACAAAGTCTAGACAGCCAGCTGAAAACTGATTTTCTACACCTTATAAAAAATTAGACTATAAACCAAATCTTTATTTAGTCTGAATAGTTCCACAGTTTCCAGCTGGTTGCAAAAGCTGAGCTTTGATTCAGCTGACAATAACAACTAAGAATGCACAAATCTTTTTTATCAGGCAACAAGTACAAATGTTTCTCTGTTAAGTAAACTGAAGTAGATAAATCCTTAGCTACACACTCAGCCAGAGCATTTCCACTGTGACAAGGGCTGACTGCATGTGTGTGAAATTTCAAGGGGGAGGTGTTCAAGTAGTGTCAATGAGGCACACGCAGAGAAGGTTTTCACTAAGGTAGTCACAGCATTTCCAGGAACAGCTGGATGACATAGTAGATTAACTCTATTGAATGATGTATTAATTTGGTAGGGCACTTGGAGGGCCCAATTCTTACCTTCTCAAAACACATTCTAGTGTCCTGGCTTTCTCTTCATTTTGCTGTGAAGAATAAACTGCGACCTAGACACTGTCCTGTACTATTGGGAAGGAGGATTGTGTGCATTTCTAAAGAATTTTGAAACTTTGCTTTTATCTGTGCTTTTCCCAGATAAGTACTGTCTTAAAGAAGTGCATGTTATTGGTGTGAAGAAAAAAAATCACATATGATTGCATGCATCTGTTATGTGAGAAAACACATCAGTATTTTTGATAGCTCGATGCTGTCAACTGAAACAGTTCTAATCCTGGTAATAATTTGGGCTCTCCCTCTCTTTGCACAGCTCTTTGTATTAGCAGGTCTGTCTGTGCAGTGAGACAGATCTGTGTCACAGACATCTCCCAGCAAAGGTCCCTGAAAGGCAGATGTCATGTTATATTGATACAGACTGTTACTTGACCTTGTACCCCACTGGGGTTACCAGCTAGGAAAAACAAACACTTTGGATTTTCACTGCAGTGTCTTTTTGAATACACTAAAGTAGGTAGGTGAATTAGAGGTTCATGGAAGAGGTTTGAGTTTTGAAGGTCTTTATCACATAAATTTTACAGAATCCTATTTACGACTCCCAGCCCAGGGTGGTTTAATCATTTTATCATGCAGTGTTACTACTTGAAGGCTCTGGTAAGATATCCTCAACATTAAATTTTACTGTTAACCAATTGTAATTAACAAAATACACTAATGATTACATCTTGCACCGCATGTACAGTTAGATATTCTTACATGTCTCCTGTATGATGTTTCATTGAGGAAACCCCAGGCTGACTGTGTTGTTGCTCACTAAGGTCATCTACAGACTGGAATGTCAAAGAACCCAAAACAAGGTGAGATTTTGTCACTGCTGTGCATAGGTGGGTTCTCTGCCCATCAGAGCTGTCTAGCAGTGCATCTTCCCCTGTTTGCTGTACCACAGGTAACAGTCTGTGGGACACTGAGCCATGGGCAAATCAAAGTGATTTGAATGTGGTCCTTTTTGGGGACTGTATCACCTGAGTGGCTGAACAGTCCCAGTTCAGGGCCGTGGGGATGACTGGGAGAGCAAGTGGCAGCTCAGACTGTAAATCTGCCCTGCCATTCAGCACGGGCCCCTCAGGGAACTGCTGGAACCTCCTGCCTCTCTGTGGCTCCTGGCGTTTTCTCTTTGCTTGGCTCTCTCAAATCTTCCAATGTCCCTTGAAGCCTCTAAAAGTTTTTGACATAGAGCTCAAGGGAAGATTGTTATCTCTATCAAATGTGGATTCCAAGACTGTAGATGCACACAGAAATTAAGGTACATCAGGGGGTGGATTAATAAATTTGTGTGACTAAAACTGAGTGTATCATGACTTTTGGGTTGAGATATAAAATTCCAAACTGATTTTTTTTTCAAAATGAGGTAAACAGCAGCCTTGAATAACTGAGTAGCACAGTAATTAGCTCTTACAACTAAAGAGCAATCTAATGTTTCTTCTGTATCTAGTTTTCCATGTGAATTTTTCATAGCTACAGATGAGAAAGAGCAGGAATTAATTCTTTCTCCATGCATTGCTCAACCTATGAGAAAAGAAACTGAGGTCTTGAGAAAAGAACAGAAAATCACCAGCCATGAAGAAAGCAGACATCACTGCTTCACTTGAAAAAATCATTCAGCTGTGTTTCGAATTGCTCCTCTTTTCATTGACTTGTGGTGTTGCAAACAGAAAGTAATTTTCTGACTCCAAGGCTTTTTCAACCAAGTGCAATTTCATTCCCTAGGTTGTGGTGCTGGGCACACCCAAAATGGATTTGTGCTGTTTTGTTTTGTGGATTGTGTGCTTTTATTAGAGCTTATGAGAAGGACAGATATGTTGCTTGCACAATATTGCCTTAGGAGGGAGCTTCCTTAGAAAGTGCCTGAAGAAGTACTTGTTCCTAATGAAATGACAGCTGAAAAGATTTCAAATATTTCTATAAATTTTTAATAAACCACAATTTGGTAGGGATCCATTTTCTTAATTATTTTCCTGGCGTATGAAAATTGTAACAGAAATGTTACATTTTATCCATCTGCTTCATGGTGTGTGCTTTTAATAATTAAAAGTGTATTGAAACCTATGGTTTTGGCCTAGATGGTAAAACCATGCTATAAACTGCCCTTAAAGGATTTATGATTGATAGGGATGGAGTATTTTGCAAAAGATTATTGCATGATGTGGGTGATTAGCAGTTACTCTGTAAAGAAATGTGCTCTTGTGTATTTTGTAGAACCACTAGATGAGCTGAAGATCAGAAGCCACAGCACTGAGCCACTACCAAAGCTGGAAAACAAAGAGAGAGGACATCATGGGACAGCTTCCTCCAGGGAGCCAGGGAAAGCTCAGGAATGGGATGGAACACCAGGCCCCCCCATGGTGTCCAGCAGGCTGGGGAGATCCTCCGTCAGCCCAACCATGCTGGCTGGAGGCAACAGCTCAGGTACGTCAAGCACGACGCGGGGAAAATCTCACAAATCTCCTTGTGAGATGAAGAGTCTCTAAAGATACACTGGTGTAGGAAGCATCCACATTCTTTGGACTTCCAAATATCTTCTAGATTTGGCCCTGCACAATGACTGCTGCACTAATAAGGCTTGTGCTGTGCTTGTGCTCTGTGCTGGAAAGCTGAGATGGTGGCATGGAATAGAAGCGCATAAACGTGTTAGTCATCTACTTAAAAAGAAGTAAGGGATTCCACCTGACACTGAAAAGGCAAAGACACTCCTAGGATGGCACCTCAGGAAGTTCATGAGTTCAGGTATCACATAAAGTTACAAAAATACACTTTGCAAAAGTAAGGCTGTCCTACTGAGGAGCACGGTGACAGGACACAGGCAGCCTTTGCTTTCTGCTTGTACAGAAATTTCTGGAAAAGTGACTGTGGATTTCAGAAGTCTCAGATAAACACTTATTTATTTTATTATTCAAAAATATTTACATATTAAATGGTAAATTGCCATAAACCATGGCATTATAATGCAGTCTTGTTTATAAATTGACTAAGACAAATGGAACTGATAAATGAATAGACATCTGTAAAGAGATATTTATGGCCCTTGCATGAGTACTGTATTGGTACTTTAGAGATTTGACAGCTCTCATAAAAGAGTAACTTCATTGCTTATTAGTTAGTGTGAGAAATATCCCTTTTAAGGACAGTTGGCATGTCTAGTCCTGAAGCCTCGTGGTCAATGTTCTGTAAGTATAAGAGCAGGAATGAGCTGCTCAGACCAGAAATCATTCCTGCCTGAGAGATCTGCTGGGCAGTGAGTGGCAGCAAGGAGTTGTTTACACTGCTGAGTGAGCAGAGATGCTCACACCTCACCCAGAACATCGCTTCCCTGTGTGATAATGGGACTCACATTGTCCCTGAATTGCTGAAAATGACACCTGAAACTCAGTGTATAAGTTGAGGAGTCTTTGCTGATGTGAAATGTCATTTGCAGCAATCATGTAGTCCAGCTTTGCTTGCTACAGACCCCCCGAACACTCCTTCCTGCTGCAGTGAAAGTGACTTTTCTGCAAAACTTACAACTCTAGCACAGGTCTTTTTTGTACTACTGCCATCTGCTTACTTGTCTCTTCTTACAAAGCTTCCTGGAAGGTGGGAATTTTCCAGATAAACTCATAGCTTTTGGTAAAGATTCTGTTCCCAGTGTCTTAGACTGTCATCTGTGCTAATGCAGGTTAAATGATGGGTTTAAAGCTACCACATCAAACGTTGGGACATCTGAAAATTAGACCAAAGGTGTGTAACAGTCTCTTCAGTTCTGCAAGGTGACACTATGGACCAGAGTAGCAAAGAAGCTAAAATTGAAGAGTAAGCTCTTAGCAAAATATAACACTGCTGTCCAACATTTCTGTAGCAGTTTTATTTTAAAGAGTTGGTTGATCTCCAAAAGTAGACAAAACATGTTGGCCTCAGTCTCCATTTGGCATCAGCAAACTGTAATAGTTGTTGAATCATGCCTTGATTTAGCTAACTGTGACTTTGTCTTACATTGCTAGGACTGTCAAAGAAAAATTTTATTTTCTTGGCTGAATTTTGACTCCTTTCTATGATTAAAATCTGAGAGCTGATTATGACTTTTCTTTCCCTGCAGATTTATGATATTTCATTTGATGAATATTGCCTCTCATCTGCCCTGAATATTTTTTCCCCTATGTCTCTTGCTGTTGCCTGAGCAACACGTTTTACCTTTATTTGGTGGGGCACTGCATTGAGAATGCTGTACACAGTTCTCCTCAATGAACTTGTACATGAACAGTAACAACTCATTCTCTGCAATTAAATTAAAACTGTAGCAGAATGCAAGAAGAGCAATTTAATATTTTCATATGAATACAAATGTTTTCTGGAGTCAAGGGGATAAAGCAATTCTGCACTAGGAATTAGAACTTAGATTTACCTCAAATAAAATCTAGGTAGTTCCCAGTACAGTCATCACTGCTGCTGCTCTCTTTGCAACATCATACATAACAGAAAAAAAGGCTATTTTTTTTTTTTTTTTGTGCAGACATGTGCTTGAAACACCACAGTTTGGTACCTGCCTCCTAGTTCACACTGGTACAGGCATTTGTTAGGGAAATATTGAAATAATTTTTTTTAATGGGGTTGAATTGCTCTGCTGCAGAAGAGAAAGGGTGGAATGGATTTCCCACATGTGCTCATCAGGCAGCTCTGCTCCAGCACAGATGAGCTGGGAACTGGGGAGGCCTGGGCAAATACCTGAGTGAGAACACTGATTTTCAGTGGGTTCTCCCCAGCTCTGAAACTGCTAGTAGGATCAGAGGGAGAATGAGCCATCTCCAAACACAATCTTGAGCTTTCTGTCCATTTTGTTCAAAGAGCCTGGGCTGTCAGCTGCACACAGTTATCACTGTCTCTAATGCCTGATTGTTCTGTGACAGAATTTGTCAAGGGCACTTTCTGTTTCTTGGCATCCTATAATTTCTTATGGAAAGCAGTGTGATTTAGGGGCATGCTGACTTTTAGGAAAGTCAGTGCAATTATAATGAACAGCCAAACACAATCTGTAAAACAGAATCTGTATAACTTCACTCCAGGAGACTTGAAGAGTATTTTCTGGAATGTTGCTGCTTTTTTCCTAACAGCAACGGAGAAGCATTTTACATTGCCACCTGCTGCTGGAGACAGGCACTGCCCTGCCTTTAAAATCTCAGAAACGGTTGCATCCTGGTTTTGAATTGCCACCAGCTTGTCACTCAGCCAGCCATAAATATTCCATCTGAAAAGATTGTAGGTAATCAGGAAGGGGGGAAATACCCACCCTTAATTGGAATTACATTGTTGATTCCCAAAAGCAATGAATATTTTAAGTTCATCTATTTGGGAATGGGGCAAAGCCTGGTAAGCCTAAGGCACAAGATGCTTCCATTGGTGTAAGAAGGGAATAGCAGCAAAAAGTCAGTTCCTGCCAGCCAGGTCTTTGCCACAAACCCCTACATTTTCTCCTCAGAGCAGTATCACTGTGCTCCTAAACCCACAAGGATTTTCCACATGAAGGCAACTTAACGCTGGGGTTTTTGGTTACTGGCCAAGTGGCCCAGACCCTGCCTGCACTGGTCACTCTGTTCTCTGCTCACAAGCTCCCCTGAGCAGTGCCTGTCACCTGCAATGAAATGAGCAGCACCGCGAGCTGCACACTGAGGGCATCCCACCAGTGCCCATGGTCCTGCTGTGAGACCTCCAGGATGTGGGATCACACCAATTCTGGCTGGAGTAAAAATATTGCCTTGGTGTAAGAAAAACACACACAAAAAACCTGAACAAAGATACCAAACACATACTTGTATTTCAAAGAAGCCAGGAAATAGCAAACAAACACAGCCAAATCCTATAACAAAAGCTTTTCAAAGAAAATAAACACCCATATTTCAGGATACAAAGTATATTCCACTAACAGCTTTTCACTTTGGGCCAAATATCCCCTAAACCTAAACAGGGGGGTCCTTTTCAGACATGGTTTTGCTCACTACCTGACTTGGGTTTGAGAGTTGCTAAACTTTTGACCTATGGATATCTGGCAACATTGAGCTCCACAGGTTCAGTGCTCCCCTTGTGAAAACTGTTGAGTTTGATGTGCTGCTGTGATATTTTAGAACTAATTGGCTTCTGCCAATAGCAAAGTACTGAATGCTTTGTTTAGATAGCATATTACTACATAGTTTATTGCACCATAATGTTTCATAACTTCAAGTTTTATTTCAGCTTACTCATCTCTTTTTAGGCCAGTATGAAGACACTTGGTGTGATGTATTTTTCCAGTATATATGCTTTTTTTCTCTTCTTTTTCTCCTTTTTTTATTTTTTATGTGATTGCTCCCAGCCTGTCACATTGCCTTGTTTAATTCAAAACGCATTTCTTGGCAGCTGTAGCAAATAAGCAATATTTCTCTTTTCATGTGCAAAGAAGAGACTGTGACAGGATAAGAAGCTTCTCCAATGTAAGTGACAGCCAGAGCATTTTTTTGAATTAAGATTAGGATAGGCAGAATGAAGGCTTCCTTGGATGAATAAAGAACTCTTCCCATTAAGATCCAAAAATAAAAATCGTGAAGAGTTGTTGTACTCCTGGAAAATATATAAAGCCGTAGCATGTTGGTATAAAACTGATTGAAAATATTTCCATAAAATCTTGTGGCATTTCAGCACTGGGCATTATTGAGGAAAATCCTACGACACCCCATGTCCCAAATACAATCAACCAAGCTTCTACATCTTTAGTCATGCTGGCAGCCCCTGCAGTTTTTGAAAACCAGCCATTTATATGAGTGCTTAGACACATAATTAAATACACAACTTTAAGGCAATCCTCTTTGTGTTTGGAAAGCCTGTATTTCTGTGCTGCACAGTCTCTCTTGAAATTCTCATCCTTAATGCTGCCCTTTGGAAGTAAATGCTTGCCTGGTTCCGTGTCTAACCCTCCTGGTGCTGTCAAAACGGAGTTTAAACCCAAGAGTGCAGTGATGCTTGGCCTATTGCCACTGATTTTGTCTGTGGGTTTGGTGTCAGGGGGCTGTGGTCCCACTGTCTCAGTGCTGTGGCCACTGTGGGTGCCATAAGAGGGGACTGAGGCCCACTGGCCCATTGTGCCACCCTGGCACTACGATCCACCTGGCTCCCAGAAACCTGCAGTGCATTTTTCGTACCATGTCACTGTGAGAGATGTGACATTTGAAGCTGCGCAAAATAATACCGCTAAATTTCCAAATACACCAAGTGAATCTCATGAACATTTTTCTGCATAATATTTCAGAGCCTTCTGGCTACCCCCAAGAATCTGCTGAATTCGGACCTCATGCTGCCCATTGATGGCATCTCCAAAGGCTGCTCACATGCCCTGCATGCCCTGGCCTACAAAGCCTTCCCCTTTGTCTGTCAGGATGGCTGATAGAACTCAGCTCCACACCATGAATTACTGTCACTAAGGGGACTTCTCAAGTCCAAGACTACTCATTTCAGATGTTAATACTGAGTTGTCTCAGTATCATCCACAAGAGATAAACATGAATTTCTAAATGCTAGAAACCATCCCTGATATTTGCTAGCAGTAGTTTTTCCTTTAAGATCCTTGGCAGCAAATAGGACAACCCATAGAGTCCCAGCAGAGAGAATAAGCTGCCCATAGCTAAAAAATAACATGCTGCGGAATACAGAGCAGTGAGTTGTGCAGCACTTAAAGAACAGACCTTTTGTGGTCTATTTTTCCCCCAAAGTGGTGTGCTGTTACTCAGATCACTATTTACAGTAGAATACAGTATTTATTTGGTCTAAAAATATTGCCACTGAGACAAAAAAAGCTAGATGGAGCCATGTCTGAAGCACCTTTTGGTGAGGATCACCATGGAAATCACAATAGTTTCCTTAATACTGGAACATATATTACAGGGAGATAAAGGAACTAATACTTCATCTGTGTGTGATAGGTTTTATTTCTTTGATGCCAGATGAAAGGAGTCTCTTTGGCAAGGAAATGGTAATCTCTTGCTGCTGCTCATAGATCCAAATTGGAAATTATGACACTTCTTTCTGCTTTCCTAAAGCAAAGAAAATAATTCAGAAGTATAGTCAGACAGTGTCTTGGAGTTTTTTTATGTGCTGAGTGTCTGATTCTGCTTGTCACAGCAGAAACAGAATCTTTACTTAGCAGTAGAGAAAAACAACTGAAAAAACACAGTTCTTGTCCTTTCTGAAACCCCAGCAGAATTCCAGGAGATGAGAGATGAGATATAATAATGAGATACATTATTATATCTGTATTACTGAAAGGAACGGTCAGAAATCTGGCACACAGACTGCGTAAAATCAGAGCAAAAACAAATCTAATCAACCTTCAGAGTAACTGCCCAAGTCCAAAAAAAGCAAACCAGCAGACTGTGTACAAAAGCAAGGTTATGGAGGAGGCCAGTCTGCTCCTTTCTGTGCGCCTATGGCTGTGCTGACTCGTGGTGTGTTTACAGACTGCCTAGGAGAGAGTGAATTGAATAATGCATTCAGCTAGCAGCATAAATATTTTTGCTGCTCAGCCAGCTGGATGTTAACTAACATATTAATATTTAGTTTATGAATATTCACCCATACAGATGCTTTCATTGGTCTAAGTGCTCCAGCATAAGTGGATAGCTCTCCTCTACGCCCTATTGAATTCTGAAATATCTGAAGAAAATAAGCATAGAAGGTGACAATGAGAAAGCATCAGTGAGAGTGGAAGAATCCATTTCAGCATGTTGCTGGTATGTGGAGTAATGTGCCAGCTGTCCTCAAGTTTCCAAGGTGTGCCAAGTGACTTAAAGGTCATGCTGGCAATAGGCATTTTCTTCCTTTCAAGCTGTGGCCCAGCCAGTGGCCAGTGGTGATATGAGAGATCCACAGGAAATAGAGAAATCAGTGTAAAACAAATGCAGAAAAAGCAGCTGTATAAATGAGGCATGACAAAATAAATTTCAGACAGACACAGGCAAAAGATGTGCTTCAGAGACAAACTTGCTAAACCACAACTGCATGAGGCATAGGTCCTTTCTTTCTTCTTGAAAACATAGAATTGAATAGGAGGAATTCTTCAAACCTTATTTAAAAAACTCACAATTCTTTAAATTGTAATGAAGCATGACATTGTAATTACTTGTTCTTCATGGTAAAGCAGCACTGCCAATGTGAAGAGTGAGACTCTGTTATTGTACCAAATCTGTCTGGTGAGTCCAAATGTTTTCAGTGTTTGCCCACTGAATGTAAAAAGCAGGTGCAGGTTTGGGAAGAAGGTTTATGAAACATGAGGAGAATGAACACATTGATCTGAGCAGAGCCACAGAATGAGAGGTGCTTCCTCAGCCATATAAAGGAAATGTAAGGACTAAAAAATTTCCTGGTCAGAAACAGGCAGATCCCTTTTTTAGGAAAAGACATTTTCTCCCAGACCAGCTGAATGCTGGGGTAGTACATGGGTGTCAGCATGACTTAGATATAAACAATTTCCTCCAGGCCTCCTGAAATGCATGGTCACCTCGTGTCAGTGTGTACAATAGTAACCTGTGCTGGAAATCAGTGGGGAACCTTCTCAGAAATTATTCCATATAAAGCAGCAGAAGGAAAATCAAATAACTGTGTCATTTTTGTGAAGTTCTTCTCTGAAATTGAGCTTTCTCTCAAGGCAAACATTGCTTCTGCTATCATCTTGATTGTGGGCAACTGACTTTGCCACTGCTGATGTTTTGATTTGTCTCTTCTTCTTCCTTCATTGCCAATGACATGAGATTCCCAAGTATTTTTGGTGTCATTCCAAATCCCCAAGTGTGAGAGTATCTTCACCACTTTTACATACCTCCTCCTTCATTTTTTGGCATTTCATGCTTTCCTTCAGCACAGTCAGTCTTTGGGCTGTCATGTCTCTCAGCTCTGGGATGAAGAGGTGAAACAAGAAGTTTCTGTACCTCCCTTAATCACTGCTGTGGTACATGAGGAGTAGAAAAGATGCTGGAGAGCAGGGGAGTGGGGAAACAGGAATGCTTCTTTTGTATTCTTCCTGTCTGCTGTTTTATGCTCTATCCTTCAGAGATGCCCGAGCAAAGAGGCCAGGACATGGCATGAGTCCTGCCTGAATCCCTCTTCTGATCTCAACTTCCGCTCATGATTCAGCCATATGTCCAAGACTTTAACTTGTTACCAAGGCTGGAGTCTCCATTCCAAGGGAATCCTGGATCCACAGTGTTTCAGCTTGCTGCAGCAGTACCTGCTCCTGCTCACTGGAGTTTCTCTCTCTCCCTTTCCAGAGTCCAAGTCCAGCTGCCGGCTGGGCCGCTCCGCATCCACGTCAGGAGTGCCTCCTCCGTCGGTGGCGCCGCTCAGGCAGCCCGGCGACCTCCAGCCGAGCCAGGTACCATCGTTAGCCAATCGGGAATGACTCCATGTGCTGCAACATGCCAAATGTTCCCACCTCTCTGTCTGTCACTTGTTACAGTAAATGGTTCTTTTGGTTTATGTCTTTGTTTTCTGTGCGTGTGCGTGCATCTGTGTGTGCGCATCTCTCATTGGCAATGAAATTCCGCTGGCCACAGCCAGCAGAATTTTCTTTGCTCTTAATTCCTTGTATCTTTTTTCTGTCTTCATTCTGTAATATAAATGTAGTAAAACTGTACAGTATGAACTGGCTGGGTTTTTTATTTTTTCATGCTTTCTGTACTTTTTTACTGTCTTAAAATTTATCAAACTTTGATAAATTTAATCTATGTTTTTATGTAAATTTCTTTTAAATGTCTTGTCTAGAGCACTTACACCAATGTTGTCAATGACTTGTACATACTTGACTTCCCCAGTTGTACTTTAATATTTGTGCCAGTCTCACATCTGGTTGGAGCTTAATGCATGATTATATTACACTGTGATTTATCACTGTCCTGAAAAATGCTCTTACAGCAAGTGATTTTGTTTAGTTGAGGCAGCTAGACTCTCTTCAGCGATAGACCGTGTAATGCTTACAGGACTATTAAATAGTCCACTGTAGTTATAGTTATTGTACATTTTTAGGAATTAAAAAAAAAAAAAAAAAACAAATCAAAGGAGCAACATCTCCTTTTATCTTAAACAGAGATACTTATTTTGTCATCATCAGAAACAAAACTGCCACATAGGAAAAAAATGAAAGTGTTTGGCTTTGGCAAGTTTCTCCAATAGAGAGAAAATGGAAAAGAAATAAAGACATGGGAAACCTATACTTACCTTTATTTTATATGCTAATACTGATATTGTAACATTTTGTTGCACAGACCTGTATTATTAGTTTGACAGAACTAGCTGAGAGTAGCAATTGAAAGAAGAGGTTTTGCTTAAACATCATGTGAATGGCTTCTGTCAAAGCACTGTGGCACTGCATCACTGGTGTGCACGTGTGGGGTGTATGTGCACAAGGAGGCAGGAGCACAGATGGATTTAGGTGCACATGCATATGTGTATGCACACACAGGCACCCTTATTTTGATGGAGAATTTTTGTCTGGCTTTCAGGGAGTTAGTCCCCAAAATACTATTGAATGTAACTGAGGTTGGAGTGGAAATCTCCCTGAGGAGTGCTTTGCAATAATCACATATTTGTGTTTGCATCTTGGTGAGTTGCTCCAATAATGTCTTGAACAAAGCAAAGACCACAAGAGTAAGGTTGATTTACTTACTCCAGACAGCCAGCAACTTGTTAAGAAGATTATATTTGGATAGCCAAATCTGTACAGGTTACAGCTCTGTAACCTGCATGAACTGATTTGATTGTATTACTTCTGAGTGCTGCCAGACATGAAGACTGAGAGAAACCTGCACATTTCTAAAGCATATTTTACAGAAAAAAATCAAATCTATAATGGAGATTCAAAATGATGGCCCATTTAAATAACATATCAAGTGTTCTTCATCTTTGGAAGAAATTAGGGTAATTGTACTTCCAAAGGTTTTCAGTGTCCCAGTGTTCATGTAGTATATATTTTTGATTAAATGGGTTTTACGGCACTCCTGATGCTTTGCTGTTTACTCAGTGGCAAAGGCACCTTGGGTGTTTTGAAGGGATTTTAGCCTGTCAGTTTATACTAAGAACTAAACAATAAGCCTTGAAAGCAGAAGCTGATGTGATAGAAGAGATAATGAGCCTCTTAGAAGCTGCAGCCAGGGTTCACTGAAACTGTGGTGGGAAAAATCCACCTCAATTCATACAGAAGAAAGGAACAAAGATGATAAGAGGAATTTTCAAGTGACTGTAGGAGGGTGATCTTGTTAATTGAATAATGTATGGTACGGTCATGACTTCATGAAAAACAAGAAAAACTAGTACAAGCTTTCTCTCCCGAAGTCTTCCCTTCCAGCTGACAATCTCTTACTGCCCATCTATATGTTGCCATTTACTATGATAGCATAACTTTCAAAGGTGTGATTTTGACCCTGATTTCAGAGGAATGACAAAAGTCTTATCTCCATAAAGATACAAACATTGATTGTTCTTTCAACACCTATTCTATCTTAATGTGCAAATAATGGATGACGGGTGAAATGTGTTTCCAACAGCTGGGCTCTTAGCCCATGCTCAGTCTGCTGGATTGTGGCATACAGGGTATCTGTTTTTGTGTGCTGTGGCTATTGATTTTATTGATACTGCTTTCCTTATGTCATAATATCATAATGAGCAAATTAGACTTTCCAAAAGATTAAGGTGATGTATTATGTTATTCCCCTCTTTGTTGATCAGATGGGCACAGCTAGCATTCAAACAGGAATATAGGATCTGGGAAAGGGCAGATTACTGTTAATTGGTTTTCTCAAATCTTCGTGGATCCCAGACTTGTGGTTTTCAAAATGCTTAATTTGAAAAAAAAAAAAAAAAAAAAAAAAAAAAAAAAAAAAAAAAAAAAAAAAAAAAGACAAATTTGCAGCTGAGTTCTCATAACCCACCATTTTTAATACAATTGTTCAAAGAAGTGGTGACTATGCTTAATAATTAAAAATAGATCTGATCTAAGGAAACCTATATTATAATTCCAACCATACATTAGGTAATTATGTATCTATTGTCATTTAACTCCCCTATGCCTTATTTTCTTATTTCTTGCTTGCTTATTGGTGGAATGGTGAAGATTAATCAGTTACTATTCACCAAATATATCTATGGTATATTGATGGGGAGCAGTAGAGGGACCACCTAAACATAAGAAGAAATGGCTTATGAGCAGAGATTGATTATGTGGCTGGTCTCTGATGCAGAACACTAAAAATTCTGTAGTGTAGGGGCAGCCAGCATTTACCAAAATGCTGAGCCAGACTAAGAGCCTGTCTTCTGTCCTTAGCTCTGGGAAATGGTGAGGACATTTGGAAAGCTTTGGTTGCACAAAGCAACTTTGGATGAAGTCACGAATTGTCTCTATTTAAACTGAAAGATAAACATAAGTTTATCCTGGAAATGAAGTTATTGATTATAAAAGGACAAAGTTTAAGAAATTAAGGGAGTAGCAGAGGAAGTCAGGTGGGGGGCTTGGAACTGTAATAATGGCAGGAGCATAGAATATTTTTGAGCAACAAAAGTGCCACAAAGCTGTATTTCCGAAATGCATATCCAAATAAAAATATCCTACAGAGAGGGGTATGAGTAGCAGAGAAGTATTCTAGATAGGATGCATTGTCTTGTAAAGAAAGAAAAGAAGAAAGGAAGGAAAGAAAGAAGGAAATGTTAAGCATGCAGAAGCAGGCCAACCTCAAGTGCCAAAAGACAAACCAGCAGGGAAGATGATTGACTGAACAGGCTTTTGCTGGGACTCAGGAAAAGAGAGAGTTTATGAAAGTTGGAAGAAGGGACAGGCAACTCAGGAGGACAAGGGTGTCATGAGGTTATGGAGGGAGAAAATTAGAAGGGCCAAATCCTGACTAGCACTTAATCTGTCTACTGTCATAAAAGACAATAAAAAATGTTTCTCTAGATACATTAGCAGTCAAAAGAAGTCTAAGGAGACTCTCCATCCTCTTTTTGGATGGTAGAGAGAATATAATGACAAAAGATGAGGAAGAAGCTGAGGTACTTAATGCCTTCTTTGCCTCAGTGTCCAATAGTAGGACCAGCTGTTCTCCAGGTACCACCCCCTGAGCTGGAAGATGGACACAGGGAGCAGAATGAAGGCCCCATAATACAGAGGGTAATGGTCAGTGACCTTCTTTAACACTTAGGCTCACACAGTAGGATACCATGTACTTATATTAGACAAAAATTTCTTCACGGAAAGAGCTGTCAAGCAGCAGAACAGGCTGCCCTGGGAAGTGGAAGAGTCCATTCTACAATCCTTGGAGGTATTTAAAAGACATGCAGATGTGGCACCTGGGGAAGTGGTTTAGTAGGGGGCTTTTCAGTGCTGGGTTAAAGGCATTTTTCAGCCTAAGTGATTCTCATTCTATAAAGGTACGACATTGTTCACAAAAAGATACAAGGAATGGAGAAATGTTATAGAATGTAAAGCAAGTTATATCTTAGAAAAGAAGTGTGTGAATAACATTACAGATAGTAAAAGTCCATCTGTATTTGGGCTTTATATGGAAATGCAAACAAGTAACTATCTTTTGTAACCATCTAGTGGACAGAGAACAGTAGAATTTAACCACTTTGAGGGGTTTATAAAGTACAATAAACAAAGTCCACAGTTGCCCCAGTAAATAACTCCTCACCCATTTTGCTGGAAACTCTGTGCTAGCGCCTAAGATTTCTGTAGCAGGCATGGTCAAGGGTTTCACCCTGCAGAGGAAAATGCTCAGTCCTGCCACGGTACAGCCACAGTGAGCAAAGCTGTCCACTTGTATGAAAGCAAGCAGGATTTGGAGTCATAGGTATCACTGCTATGCAATGATGTTTCCCTGCCATCCTATCGTTCTCCACATCTTCACCTCGGCGTAACAAAGGATTGCATTCCATCGATGAGCTCAGATATCCCTGTGGCACACAGGGTAGGTGTGCACTGAGCATGTCTGTCACAAAAGCAGAAAAGGTTTCAAGCAGGCTGTGGAAGTCCCTCTGCTGGAGAGCAGAACATCTTGCATCCAGAGTTTTAATGTACATAAAATCCTCCCTGTATCACTGCCATGCCTCTCTGAAACAGTCTTCAGCAGAGAAAAATCCCACTGATTTCCATTTTAAGAAAAAAAAAATCACATAAATACCTTGGGATTTTTTTTTCTGCTAATGAACTTTGCAACGTGAGGTTTGTTTTCATTAATTTGTAGAGAGTGATTGGAAAATCCCATGTACTAGGCTGCACAGCAGCACAGCAGTGCATGTTTTTAAGATAGATGGTCTGAAGAAAGCCACACTCTTTGAAAACAAAACTACTGATAGCTAGAGTTTCATATTTTATCTTTCCTGCAA